TTCCGGCTTTTAAAAAGACAGCAGTCACGTGAAGCAAAATCAGGGGCAGCTTGAGATTCCGCAAAGAAATATATACAGTTCATGATTATAACACAAGCTGTGTTTCACGGTTATTGAAAATCGATCTGCGATCAATAACCAAAGGCAAACATTATTTGTGAATTTTCGACACTACAAAAGTACAAATTGTCAGATTTTATAACTTTTGATTTCAGGCAATTAAATTTCTCGACATTTTTTAATCAAATCCTGATATGAAGATGTCCTTTGAATAGTATCAGAAAGTGAACAAAAGATGGTGGTARATTACATAACACTGGGAGGTAAATTAGAATTGGAAAGTTTCTGAGTTCTTCGACTAAAATAATTGTAAGTCTGTTTCCTTACAAGATGTCCTCCAGACGTCTTTTAAGACCTAAAGCTGACAACATATACGTCAAAGCCAGTGTTTTTATTTTATAAACTTTAATTTATCGCCTGTGAATTATAAGAAACCCATTTGTAGTCTTTGTATAGTGTTGGTAACATTAACTTTTCGCATGTATGTCTGTAGTTGATGCAACGAAAACTAAAAAAAGACCGACTTGTCAAATCTAAAATAATGGCCAGATAGTTASAAAGATCTCTCGCCTTCATATAGAACAATAACTTTAGGTTGACTTTTATCAGAATTATGACGACAACAAAATTGCCCCATCTAGTCGCACTGYCGCTGCATTTTGTTATGTCCGAAAAGATGTCCATTGTTAAATTTAACAAGACTTAGTAGTATACGAGTACATAATAAGGTTTAAACAGAGGACTGTAAAATCATCATGTACACTGCAGTCATAAAGAAGGCCCTATTTTATTGTGGTAACGTAGGAAAGAGGACGCCATTTTGGACAAAGATAATTTTTTTTATTGATTCAAGCTAGCTTGCTTCCCAAGATCATCATTCGGGGTCATTTCTAAAATCTGTCCCATAACACTGATGCTAATTTATTCGAAAGGAAATGCCTGGTGGCCATTTTGMATGACGTCACCGTGACGTCTTTTTATCCAAAATAACCGACACAAAACATTTTTTTAAAATTGCCATTCATTTAACTTTGCTTTCTTACAATGCATTTTCCTTGTGTTTACGTCTGATAAATGTTCTTTTTCATGTTCCGATATCAAGGAAGAATGCCGGAGAATAAATTGCCAAAATGGTGGGAAGTGTCACCATGACAACTACCTAGGGCGTTTCACATGCTCGTGTAAAGGAGATTTTGCTGGAGAATTCTGCCAAAGCCCTAAACGTAAGTGTTCACGGTTTGCAAGAGTTAATGATTATACAGCTATTTCAGAAAACGTTGAATACTGAAAATCGTTGGAATTGTTGTTCGTTCTATTGCCGTTTTAAAGGAGGTTTCCTGGATTCAGAGTGGCTTATATAAGCCTCGTACAGCCGAGAATTTCATTTCAAAGAAATTCAGATTAGATGCAGCTAACGTCGGGTTTAGTAGCAACAATGCATTGCCTTCTTTAAATGAACCTATACAGAAAACAGTTTTTATTATTCAACGTTCTCTGAAGTAGCTATATGCAAAGCTGGCACATCACTTCATAGTTCTGGAGAGAGTGTGTTTATGACTGTGAAGTCCTCTAAGTACATTATATCACAGGGCGCCCAGGCTCAACAGTTGTCTTCATTTCTTGAGAATTTTCAATACTTTCTCTTTCTTTTTTTTCACAGTTTTATGAATAAAGATTGATTTTTAAAGCCATTTCTATATTTTTCCCCCGGTTGGCAAATGTCGATCGCTGACTTACCTCCCTTGTCTATTTTTATTCACGAGGGGGGAAAAGTGCAAACAACACAACTGTTGAGCCTGGGCGCCCTGTGATTATATTTAAATTCATTGAAATCACTTGATATTGCGAATGGTTGTTATAAATGTTGCAATTATAATAGTTCCGTGATTTGCTTTCCACAGCTATAGTTTACAAATTCACCAACTTACAAAAAASCGGAAGATATGGCCCGAACTCTGCTTCAGCCTACCAAGGGACAACCTTAGACGGAAAAGTAACTCTTTCAAATGGAAAGCAGGAATGGACAGTCCCTAAAAATGGCCGATATCACATAGTGGTAGAGGGAGCTGCAGGGGGGGCAGGTTTCATGGGTAAAGTGGGGGGTCTTGGTGCTAGGGTATATGGGTATGCAACACTCAACGCAAGCGATGTCATAGTCATTGTCGTAGGTCAAGAGGGCTTGTCACGACAGGCTGGAGGAGGAGGAGGAGGATCATTTGTGTTTTACAAGAATGACCAAATCATAGCCATTGCTGGCGGTGGCGGTGGAGGTGGGGGTCAAATCACTCAAATGGATGGCCAAGGGGCGTTAGCTTCTGATACTGGTGGAATTAGGGGRGGAAGTAGAGGCTTTGGGGGGACAGTATGTATGGATAGTCATGGGTCCTCTAGCCCGGGAGGCGGTGGGGGTTATGCAAAAGATGGAACATGTTACAAGGGCCCAACTTGTAACGACAATCAAACTTGCACGCAAGGAGGAGGCAGTCACTCTACTAACTTTGTTGGCGGGTTTGGTGATGGGGATGGAGGTTTTGGAGGAGGTGGAGCGGCAGCAGGTTCTTATCCAGGGGGTGGAGGTGGGTTTTCTGGTGGAGGCGTTGAAGCAAAATCTCAACTAGGCCAAGCCGGAGGGGGAGGATCGAAAACATTCACCTCAAGTTGGCAAGCTGAAGCTGGTGTTAATAAAGGTCATGGTTCGGTCGTTATAACACTGGTCGGATAAACGCAGTGTACCTTTCTAGTGCGGGCTGTTTATGTTTATGGCCTACCAACATTAATGTACATAAKGGACATGGACTGGATGTAATATCACTGGACGGACAACAAAAAAAGCGCTGCCTCGTTAAGAGGGATACTTTCTTGCCTGAAGCGTTAATGTACATAAGGAAAATGGACTGGATGTAATAACATTGGTCGTTAATACGAGCCCATAATTGGCTACTCGGGCTAATGAACACAACCAACGTCGTAGGCTTGAAGTTAAAGAATRTTCACGTTCATGTTCACTTTGATGGTTCACCGGTGTTACAATATAGATGTAATAGTACGACCGCTCTGATCGGTCCAATAGCGTGATTTATTTCGTCGTAAAATACACGTTCACAAGCGTGACCTTCTTTCTATATCATAAAAGCAATAAATAATGTCAAAATCGCAAAAAGTTTTTAGTCCTCTTTTGTGTTCTCCCACCATCCCCTCGTGCTATTTTTCACCGATAARCGCAAATAAACGGCGATCCGTCCTTTATTGTTTAAAAAACAGGAAAGTTTCTCTATTGCAAAAGGAGATGGTCGACTACCGTAGTTTAGCAATGAAAGACGGCCATGAAGCTTGTGATGGCAAACGGAAAGTGTTAGTTTATTGCACGAAAGATGAATAGCCCTTATCCATCAAATGATTCGTTATCCTGCGGATAAAAGCCATGTAAAATCTCTATAGAGTGGTCCAGCTCTATCTACATTTTTATGTAACATCGTTTTATCTGCGTACGCATTTTATGTCTTTTTCCTTTCCGTAGAAAATGGGTTTTGTACAATATTTAGACTCTAGGGCGCGCTCTTTGAAGAGAGCACAGGTAGCCCACACACTACTATTCTGAAACRAGTTAAGTGATATTCTGTAACATGATATGCATTGCCAATCTCAGATATTATTTTAGCCTGAGTATCAGGCTCTCTCCCAGGGGTTTGRGACCCCTTCGAGAGAGCCTGATACTCAGGCTACTATTGTTTCTAAATTTTAAAGGAAATTTAAATTCCAAATTTCTGGACTTGATTGAAGTCTTACCTGATATGTACATATGATAATAATACCCGTTCAAAAGATTAGATCCTTTCTTKGTTAAACACACTAAAACATAGGTGCCCAGTCTCGTCAGTTGAAATATCTTCAACTTCAGGTGTCAATTTAYAAATATGTCCACACAAACTAAAACTATTGTAGCATCCAAACTGGGTAGTTGCCACGGCTGAAACTCTTCCTTTTGTCTGACAAATCTTGGAAAAATTGCATGACCCAGCAATGATGCAACTTTATGAAATGTCTGAGCTTCGGCGATTTTTCAATTCTTCTCCTTGGAAAACACACACTAAAATATTGTTTCTCTGCCATGAACAACCTTGTAAGATGGCATAGCTTGTCATCTAACGATTTTCCCACAATCGTTTTGATCCCATTTTGTCTCTTTAGCAATCACTCACTTCGTAGGTTCCAAAGCTCGCCAGACTTGACGATTTTTAACTTTTTTTAGTGCTGCTTGGCAACACTATAATTTAGAATTCCCACGTTTGATTTAAATTCTACGCATGCACACTAAGGGCTCATACCAGAACATGCCAGTTTCTTGATACAAGGCCTAATTCTGGTTAATACCGTCTCATTTAGAAATCATKACCAAAGTCCGTGAAACAACTCCTATTTCAGGTGTAAGGTGCTTTGTTTCACSGATTGGTAATGAGCACAACATTGTTAGATTAACCAACTTGCCATTCAAATCCAGGCCCAATCCATTGTTACCAGTACTTGATAATAGTGATGGTACCAGGCTTTTCTGGTGAAGCTGTAATGAGTTTCGTTTCGTCAGCCCACATTACGTGAAGTAGTGTAGGATTACGGTGTACGACGTTAAGTTGTTTKCCAGACTGAAAAGATTTAACAATTAGTGTCGAGAAGACTAGGAGCTATAYCTGARCAAWGYCCAGCCYATGTTACATACCTTTATATCCCAGACRACAATCTTCTTTCTATCACCTCCAGATACAAGCCTGTTATTCGTTAAGTGTAGACAGCGCACAATACCTATATGCTCACACAACGTGTGAAGTAATTCACCTACAACAGAAAACAAAAACATTTAGAATATGAAAAGGCGAAATTTCAACTTATTTACCATAGTTCCACTTATCTAAAATCTATATCACAGAAATCTTTGCCGATTAAATGCTGTTTCTGATCCTGCTATTTGGAATAGTTGGAATTCCTCTGCATCGGATTTTTCACTTTTCCCGCCTTTTTCGGCTCTTATGGTTGACGCCCGCAGCGTCTCCCATTCCCGCCTTTTTCAGTTCTTTCGGTTGATGCGAGTACTATTTCTATTTCCCGTTAAAGCTGAACTTAGATAACTATTAAGTTAATTTTCGGGTGTATTTAGTACAATGACTACAGTTCTCTTTCCCTTATTGATGTATCGGCAAATAATGAAACGCATTATGAAACGACAACTGTAGAGCAATATTTCTATGCATACCTTCAAAACTCCACAATCGCACTGTGCTGTCCGACGACCCAGAGGCAATAATGCTCTCGTTGTAAGCCAAGCAGTACTTAAAAGAGCAAAAGCAATGATTTTATTTTCAAACATCAAAAAAGTACATACGGTGCATCTTCGCAATCCCACAAGGAGTGCTAATCGAGGTGGGAAGCGGAAAAAGAAAAAAATAATAAGGTCAGAACGGCCTAAAACAGTCTTTCCAAAAAAGTCAAAAAACTCGAGGAAAAAGGGATAAAACGAAAATGTCTGGACAATTAGACATCGAAAATTACATGTAAAGCTGTTTCTACTTTGTCTGTTTCAATTTTTTTTCTTTCTGTATGACTGATTCTGTTGTCATCTCTACTGGTTTGTGTGGACGTCTTTGTTTGTTTGTTTGTTTTTTTTACGTGGTTTGTTTTCATTTAACTTTTGTTTTGCTGTCGCTGTTGTCGTTGATTTTGACTTACTACATCGCCTGTGTGACCAGTACACTTGGCTTCAATGTCTGCTGTTTTTGCATTCCATACCACAACAAGATTGTCTCCACCACCACTGACAATCCGTCTCTCATCAAACTGACAACAATAGACAGCTAAAAATACATAACAAATGATGTTGATAGTGTCGGTGATAAATTAAATAACATTTGGGGTCCTCCAGCTGTTTCCCCAAGATTTGCCAGAATTCTCAGAAACAGCTGAGCACAGAACAGAGAAAAGCAGGAAAAAATTATATCTCTAGATTCGTCACGAAAAACACCAACTTGCTATGAATGATTTCTTTACAGTCCATTAAAGAGACATGGTCCACCAGCATTTAATGTGGTCGTGTTGTAGATTTTTCATATTTGACTTCAAATATTTATTGGCAATGCATTTCCATATTTTGGTTTTGACGCCAAATTTTTTGATGTTTTTTTATTACATATTGGGCTGTTAGACCATGGCCTTTTTTAATACATCCACAAAAGGCAGCTTAAATGTAATGTAAATCAACAAACTCCTTGCACATAGCAAACAAAAACATTTTATTTTACAAATCATTTCTGTGACGACATTAATGCAGAGGAGTCTAAACTTCTCTATACCTTCAGTATGGCCTCGTAATGTCAACAGACAATGACCAGTCTTTAGATCCCATAGGCGAATAGTCTCATCCCATGATGTTGTTATCAAATGACCAGAACACATAGTCATAAACTATAAAAGGGGCAGTGAGGGATGGGAACGTAGGTCAGTATTATCTACCATGATAATACAGCAAAAGATGACATGGAATTATGAAATCAATTAACAATTTTAAACCTCGAGGTCGAGTGGACTACTAGCTAATAGCCCATGAGGCCGAGTCCGTGAGGCCGAATGGGCAATTAGCTTGTAGTCCACGAAGCTGAGAGGTCTAATTGTTTTAGTATAAACATACTAATCGGTCAAATAATGAAACAAATTGAAATGTCCTTAAAATCATTTATTAATGAGATGCCGCCATTTTGATTTTCCCTGCGAGTGGTCTATCACAAATTAGACCATTAGTACAGTAGCCAATCACAGTGCAGTATGAGTGATAGACCATCAGTATGTTTATACTAATACATGTTAAACTTACCAGGATCTCATCAGTGTGTCCAGTAAGAGTGTGTAGTAATTTACCAGTCATAGAATCCCACACTTTAACAACCCTGTAAAATGATTAACTATTGATATGGCTAACTGCACATACACTTGCATAGCCTCTCATGTTAGCAAAGCCATAAATTTTTGCAAGAGCAAATGGTAATATTGCAGTTTTGTGCATATTTAAGAGTAATAAAAATGCTGGAAATGTTTCAGCAAACAATAAACTTTATTATATATCAAGTGTCAAAGTTCACTTTTCCTAGTATCTTATTGGTCGAGAGTGTACCACGTGAAAGTCACAAAATTTTACTGTTTCCCGGCAACTGTCCACCAGCGGTCAATAATATGTTGTGGACCGTCAATAAGTACAAAATCGCAGAAAAACACTCTTCAGTGTCGTGAAAATGCCACATTTACGGACGGTGAATTCCAAAATTGTTTTGAAACATTTAATTTCGTCTACAAATAGTTATTGTATTCATTGTGTTATTACATTGATTGATTTTAGTGACATTTGACTATTTGTATTGCCGTTTTTCAGTCATTTTATCAAAATCTTTAGTAAAAACACTACATTTATTTACGTTTTTTGCTCTCTTTGACACTTGATATGATAATAAAGCACTTATTTACTGGAAACCTCGGGAAACAGYATGTTTTGCGGTCCCTCGACCGCTGATGTTTCCCTCAGCTTCGCTTCGGGAAACATCAGCGGTCTCGGGACCACAAAACATGCTGTTTCCCTCGGTTCCAGTAAATAAGTGTTAAATGTATTTTGATTTTCTGTAATATAAATTTGTGCTCCTAGATCAGAAATGATTGCCACTAGATTCATACAACATGCATGGCACATGGTGAAATAGTCTTCCTTACAGTTCTCTACGCAATCTTGAAAAGCCTTCGTGCCTTACATAGAAGCAAGACCACCATTGAGCATGCAATGTTAGAGACCTAGCTTTCAACATGGCACAGGGCACTGTGAAGGAGACTATATCACAGATAATGCAATAAAAGAGAGAAAATTTGAACCTTTGATGTTATAATTACCCTACCTTCTGTAGGAAGGTTCAAATCAACATGATTCTCTTACCTCTCTGCTGTAGCAGCAGCTATTACAGACCCATTGTAGCATAGATGTTCAATACCCCCAGACTGGCTCTGAAGTGATCTAAGACATCATGAATGTATTTGTAACACTTACTTCAAGTCACTTTNTCAACAATCTTAGGTGACCAAATTAGAATGTTTAAATTCTTTTAGAACACAAGGTAAAAAGTTGAAACCAGTCAAACGTATGATGTATCTTGTAATGACACATGGAAATAAAAGAAATAAAGCTTGTATATCAATGATTCCATGACAAAATACTGAAAAGTGTGTCTTGCTTTCACTGAAGACCAAATTCAGTGAATATTGAATGGTGAAGAGTTTAGCAAATCTCTGTATTACATTTATAGTGTTATTGAATGGTGAAGAGTTTAGCAAATCTCCTCTGCGATTCCACCTCCATGTCAGGAACTCTTTGAAATAATGTTCTAGGATTTTCTTGTTGTTCCAGTTGAGTAAACAGCAAGAGAGACTGGAAACAAGCCTTATGGATTTGTCACTTTGTACCACTTGTCATATGTAATTGCAATATAATATGAACAAACATATTACACACACACAAAATATGCATCCCAAATACAAAATAAACAAAATAC